CGAATGATAATCTAACACCCTCGAAACCTTGCGTTGTGTTGTATCAATGGTCACATCGGGCTTGGCATCATCATCCGCTCGTCATTTCTATGCTCTTATGGTGTTTCTTTTTCGTGGAAAGGCGATGCAGTTTTGTAATCGATAACATGTTGCCAGGGCAGTACATTCGTCCTCTGCTGAGTATCAGTACCGGTGGTATTGTGGCTTCTCGTAGCGTCTATAAGGACTTCACATCCCTCGTGGGCAACACTCCTATGGTTGAACTGCGACACGCTAGTCGAGTAAGAATGCTCCAACATACCATCGATAAGGAAGGTTTCCGAGTATTAGAGGCATCGGAACAGTCTCTGTGAATCACGCCAGGGTGGTGAAGGTGAATATTTTTTCAGGAAACTGGACGCACTATCTTGGGAAAGTGTGAGTTTCTGAACCCTGGTGGGTCGATAAAAGATCGAGCTGCCGTATGGATGTTGAAGGACGCTGAGGAAAAGGGACTGCTTGTGCGTGGACAACCAGGTAAGGGCCGCCAGCTTGATAAGTCGACGACGCCATGTGCTAAGCTGGAGGGTCGTTGTTGGTGATGGTGTAAGGCCAGTGCTCAGCACAGTGCTGACATCACTGGCCTTGCACTATCACATACAGCACTGAGTGCTGTATGTGATAGTATCAATAGCTGCGAGGACCCATTCTAGTTGGATGGTCGCACTTAGTGTATGGTCGTGTGATGAGTTGGCATTGAATAGACGCTAGACACAGTGATAGCGGCAACTGCTGGAAGTACTTTATTTTTTTCGCTTCCGCAAGTTCAATTTTGACCAACAAATTTCATTTACGAGTTTGAACTTTCATTCGGTGAAAACTCGTTTCAACCTACGAAAATCAAATTGCATTTTTATAATCTGAATCCGTTCACTGGTCGCTTTCAGTGTTTAGGAATGGCATTGACTAGAAGCTAGGCACAGTGATAGCGGCAACTGCGGGCAATACTTTGTGAATTCGGAAACGCAAGTTCAAATTCGTCGAACTCAAGACCACTTTTGACCAGCGAATTTCATTAACGAATTTGAACTTTCATCTTCAAGCGATCTACGAAGATTGAACTTTCATTTCGAATTCGAACTTTCGCTCCTTGAAAAAATCGTTTCAGCCTACGAAAATCAAGTTTTATTCTTGTAATTTGTTCTCTAACTTGCTGAATTTGAGATTGAACAGGTGTAGTTCACTGGTCACACTTAGTGTTATGGATTGGCATTGATTTGAAGTTAGGCACAGTGATCGAGGCGACTGCGGGCAATACTGGGATCGGTCTGGCTCTGGCCGCTAATAGTATCGGGTACCGTTGCATCATTGTCATACCGGAAAGCCAAACAGAAGAGAAAAAGGCGGCTATAAGGCAGGCTGGCGCTAAACTGATAGAAGTATTACCAATAGCTATTAATATTTATTACGATTACTATCGTATTTAGTATAGATGTTATTCGTAGTTAGATATTGACTAATCGCTGAATTTTCCGTTTGACACTTACTATAATATTTATCTGCATTATTAATTATTAGTATTACTAATAGCTGTGTGGGATTAGAAGTTGTTGTGATTATGGTGATGAGCTTGAAGTCAGGTTCCAGCTGTGCCGTATCGAAATCCTAATAACTACGTTCGAGTGTGCAGTAGAATGGTAGAGAACTTGCGTGGACAGGGTCATCACGTTTTCTTCGGCCAGCAGTTTGATAATATTGCCAATAAGAAAGTGGGCACTGGATTTGTTCGCCTGTGTGGTGGAAAATATGTACATGGGCAACCACAGATGTTGGTGGCATTACGAAAAATTTTGAGGGAATTTCTGGGAAATTCTCGTTGATTCCTGTGCATTTTTACCGAATTTCTACGTGAACTTCAATGATTGGTGAGGAAACGCCTGAGCTCAGCAGCTGAGGAAAGCAAAAATATATATTCCTTTAACACTGCTGTTGAACTTTCATCTTCAAGCGATCTACGAAGATCGAACTTTCATTTTGGATTCGAACTTTCGCTCCTTGAAAAAATCGTTTCAGCCTACGAAAATCAAGTTTTATTCTTGTAATTTGTTCTCTCACTTGCTGAATCTGAGACTGAGAATGTGTAGTCCACTGTGTTACACTGGTATATTTAGGCTCATTTTGAAGCGACTGGGCCGGAAATTTGGGAGCAGACTGGTGGCTTGGTGGATTCCTTTTGTTGTGCTATGGGGACGGGAGGCACCCTTAGTGGGGTTTCGGAGTATCTTAACTCGAAGAAAGAGACGGTGATAGGAGGGTGAGGTTTGTTGAGGAATTCTTCGCTGTGCGCAGATTCACATTGGATTGACAGACCCCAAGGGGGCTATGTTGTACCGATGGTTCACAGAGGGTCGACTGGCGGCATCGGGCAGTAGCATTACGGAAGGAATAGGCCAGGCTAGGGTGACGGGGAATATGGTTGGTCTCAAGCCTGACTCTGTTCATGGTAAGTGCCACGGTGAGGAGATTTGGAGGTAGATTGTGCCCCTTAGAAATTGACGATTCGGAAGCTCTGAAGTGCTTGTGGCAGCTCATGAACGAGGAGGGCCTCAGCTTGGGCTTGTCGTCCGGTATAAACGTTGCTGGGGCTATGAGGTTGGCGCGGATGTAGTGATGGGGAGATTGGGCTTGTATATATATGTGTAGTAGTTATGGAGACTCGTAGTGGCGTTCAAACCATTGAAGTAATGTTATAGTGAAGCTATCCAGTGGCATATGAAAATCGGTGGAGGATTTCCTATTTCTATAATGATTCGGCTGAGTACACGGGGATGTCGGGAATGAGCCCAGATAGTAGGTTGGAAGGCGGAGAATTCAGATTGAAGGAGTAGTACTAACGTGTTAATGGGCGTGAACTGGGCTAGTGTGGGGAAATATGCACATGGTCGACGGTATGGAAATTCTTAGGAAATTTTAGGGGAATTTTTATTGGTTTCTGTACACTTTTAACGTAATTTGTGTATAAATTCTTGCAATTAGTGAGGAAACTTGTAAGATCAGTTGAGGAGAGCAAACATATATTCGGACATTGAACTGAGCTATAGTTTAGCAGCGGACTTTCTTAGTCGCGTTGGTGAGGCTTTTGTGTGGTTTTACTGGTATAGTGATAAGCTGAGTTATGACCTGATCGTGTCTTGGGTTGGTGTGTTGAATCTTAAAATAAGTTTCGGCTCGTTTACCGTGTGTGGACGAATGATGGATTTCATATGTGAAATTGTCAGGCGCCCGACTGGGAGTGTTGTTGTCACTGTACTGTGTGATACGGCGCAGAGATATGAGCGGAAAGTAGTGCAGGGCGTGGGAATCGAACCTGCGTCATCGGATGGTCAGATGTTTGATGAGGAATATCTCAAGTCACAAGGGTTACCTCCTCGTCCTCTGGCTGAGCACAGCATCGATGATAAAGTGAGAGTCGGGCGGTTACTCATCATAAACTGCGAACCGAACATTTATGCATGTCTAGATTTTCAAGATGACTGTTTCCGATTTTGGGACTACAGACTATAGAACGATTCTAAAACGTTGGTGTCAATCGAGTCACGTTGTTATCATGCAGTGTTGACTTGCTGAGCTCTCGAAATATGAAGGCGTTGAAAATATTACTTTGCATAACGGTTTGGTTCACACTGTAGGATACTCTTGTGGGGAACAGTGCATTTTATTGTTGTTTTGTTGAGCCTTTTAAGGCTGCCCTATGCCGTTGCTGAACTGATCCGTGGATCGTTCAGGATTTATCATCGGCGTTGAAGGCAGCATTTGCCTCGGAAGTTGAAGTGAAGGACGCGTTGGCAGCGTATGAGGAGGCGGTGCCCGAAGAGCTCATGAGTGGCAAGCCGTTGCCTTGAGACGCCATCCCATGGTTTCTTTTCATTTTCAAAGCTCCTACCAGAGGTCTTGCTTTTATTACTACTGTTTGGTTGTAGTATGATAATGAGGATAGTGTGTCGGGAGGATGTATGGGGAGGCTTCAAAGTAGACCTAGACTCAGTACCCGGGTAGATAACATTAGCTGTGAGGCTAATGGAAAGTGATGATTTGGATGATATCGTGTGGATAATCATCTTATCAAGAAACGAAAAAATTGATCGAATTCAAGTTGGGTGAATTTTGGTAGTATACAGTGGGAAGTCGTGAAGATCTATACTGTAGACTCCACACGCCGATGAGCTCGTACGGTTATCGTGGTAGCTTAGGTGACTACCCGTAATATGTCGGTAGTCGGCTCTCGCCCGTCATCGATGGAGGGTAGTCGTGCCATACGACGAGTACTCAACGTTCGGTTGAAGGACCCACAGAGTGCCCTTAGAGTGGCCGGGACTTTGGGTATATTCCTATTCACTGTGCTGCAGGCTTTTAGACTTGCTAAGGCGACGAAGGGCGTCGATACAACAGCGAAGAGGAGGAGGCATGATGGCCGAGGGTATCGAACTGGAGACGAATCAACAGCAGCTTCTATTTAGGGCAACTTTGTCTGAGGAAGAAATTATTTCTAATGAGTTGGCGCTCCCCGAAAATGATCCGGATGGCTGCGGTGTGCTCAGCAGGTTACTGGTGACGGACTGATTGTTGATGAGTAGAGCTGATGGTCATCTCGGTGTGTAGGTGCCTACGTCTATGGCGAAGCGATTCACGGCTTTGCGGCGTCTCTTGGATGCATCATGGGATGGTACCACAACTGATAAGGTGATGAGTTTCAGTAGTGCTAGAGGTGATCCTTGATGGTAGATAGTAACGTACAGTGTCCTGGCTGGTGTGCTGGGGACGGGCCTTGGGAAAGTTGTTGGTGATGCTCGGGTGGTTTGCATAGGGAAGTTGTAGCGGTGGGTTGGTTAGGTCAACTGTACGTATGGAAGTTAACATCGACGATTGACGCTATCATATTGAGGAAGGAGGATCCACCATTGTACAGGCTACTTTCTTGTAAGGCTTTGGACCTTGTTTGTATCTTTCCATCATCAACCTTAGATATGTTGGCTATCGGAATACCAGTCGCCTCACTGCAATGCTCCAGCGCATATTTGGCCGGTCTATTTTCGCTCAGAATGAAAACTAAGTTGGTGAAAAGGTGGTATATCATTTATCGCAAATTGATTGTAGCCGTTTTCTACAGGCTCGTACGAGAAATCATATTTTCTGCTCACAACCTCGACGAGCCCGTATCAATGATCGATAAAGATACGCTCGCCCTTATACTGTCTCACATTAATAAGGTTCTCACCAGCTCGTCTGTCGTCTCGTTCGAGATTTTTGCGTAGGTTTCAACGACGTTCGTGGAGCACTACTGGATACGCACTATGAAGTTTGTGGATTTGGTAGTTTATTCGGGAGCACTTGTGGTTCAACATGGTAAGGGCTCCAACTGGGCTTTCTATCGGGGGTGAATACCGCCACTGGTAGTCGCTGGTTTATACTGTGAGGGGAATAGTGCAGAGTGTTGATTCACTTATTAATGGCATTTTTTATTGATCTCGGTAACTCGAAGTTTAGTAGTTCCTCCGAGACTTGTTTGCCACAATTTTCACTACCAAAGTGGTGTCACCACTTGTGTCACCAATGGTGATGCACTTAGTGGATTCTACTGATTCATGGACCGTCGATAGGGTTCTGCTGTTCAGGTCCATGGCCAGTATTGGTGATGCTATTATATCTCTTCACTACCTTGAAAATGACGGCCGAGCTCCAAGTCACTCGACAGAGGATGCTCATGGTGATCACCGATAATTCTTCACTACATAATAGTGTTTCCACCGTGACAGGAATCAGCCCAGCTGGAGTCTGTGGTGAATGAGGCGATCGCTCGTGCTGTGAGGCATAGGGAAAGCATATCTGCATGGCAAGGACGGGGATATTTGGAGTCGAGGCAAATATACGGACACTTGGTAGGCCGCATCGTTCTATTGAGGTCTTGAGAGTCTCGTTCTTGTAGGAGGCGTTGCAAAAATCGAAGTCGTCTCGTGCGTGGCTCGACCTGTTGCTGGGATTCATGTCAACTCTGGGAAGCAAATATATAGGTGGGCTTCAATGACTGACCTTAATCATGGATTGGTCTTCCAGGCTCCGCGCTGGGTTTCTGGCTTACTTCTTATCCGTATATAGCCTCTCGTAGTAGGAGATTTGCTCATATGTCTATGAGACCGTCAGAGGTTAGCAACACTACTGGGAATAGGGCGGCCTCATTGGATTGGCATTTAGGATTACTTCGGCATAATATCGTATTTCTGGACAGCAAGGATCATGATGAATTTATGTAAGAAAGGAAGAAATTCTTATACTATTAGACTGATTAGTAGTAGTAGTAGTCATAGTAGTATCGGAGCTTTACTACTGAGGATGTTAGATCTTGGACGTGATTTGGATAGGTACAGCATTCGTTCAGTTCATGGACGACAGAACGTCACAAGAGGCGGGAGATAAGCTTTACACCAAAGTAGGGCTCGGGCTCAGTGAAGATACAAACACTTGGCTACCCTGCGCTCCTTTATCATGGACCATACATGTTGATGCAGATTCAAAAACTCCATCAACTGTTGGTTACAGCTCCCAATGCCTTACCACGGAGCCATCGAAAGTTCAAAGTGCGCATGACTAATATCAGCCTCAAAGGCCTCACTGTAAAGTTAAAGGACTGATGATGATGATTCAGACTACGACTGTACAGATTCAAAGCCCCTCTGGCCCGATACTTGTTCAATCGCTTACACTGGACCTCAACCCGAGTTGTTGTATCGCTTTGATGGGACCTAGTAATAGCACTCCCACACGTTTCCTCAGCGTATGATCCATCAGGTGGGAGTGGCAAGTCGGCGCTCCTTCGTACACTCAATGGGACATGGCCGATATGTGAGTGGCTTTCGGTCACGTGAATCGTTATATGCGGTTTGCAGGCGTTGGTGAGCTGGCCCGTCCCAAACATGGGGTTGTACTAGTACCTCAGAAATTGTATATGCTGAGAGAGTCCAGCGCTAAGCAACAGATCGCGTAGGTTGCAGGTAGACGCCTAAAGAATTGCAAGAGGTTTACAGATATCCCGATGGCCCTCCAGAGAGCCCTGCTGACGAGGACAGAGTAGCTCAGTGCATGCGTATATGTGAGGAGCTGTTAGTAACCATCCTAGTATTGACTTATTGGTGTCAGGCGAACTCGATAAGCTTTCTGGTCGCCACACGTTGTCCGAGGCGGAGCAGGAGAAAGTCGTATTGGCTCGACTACTTTATCATAGACCAAAGTTCGCTCTCATTGATGACTGCTTGAGATGTAAGAATGATCGATTATTATATCGTCGGGTGACGTTCAAGATGAATATCATCTCTTCTTTGTAAGCTGGGGTGAATTGCACATTCAATATTAAGATTCTCGTTGATCCATTTATGTATTTATATTAACATCGCGTATAAAATATACTATATTCATTTAAAGAGTATGACGATAATATAATATAAATATTGAAGGATTTTGGAAAAAGTAAAACTTGCTCACTGGGACGGAACGTTGGCATTAGACAGGTCATACATCTATTCAAGGTACTGACTTGAAGCTCATTGGTGAAGTTATCTCTCTATTACGGCATGATGGTGGCTGTGGTGTTGTTATGGTCTGTTCAAAACCTGACATGGTACACTCGAACTTCTGTTTTCGGGCAATTCACAACTCCTATTCAGGTGGAGACGCTATCCCACTATGTGCAATTTGATGGGATCCTGACGTTAGACAACAAGTCCACTCCTCCACGTCACAGCTACACCGTCTGCAGTAATGAGCCTGTCCCGTTGGCGGACGTGAAAAATAAGGCTTGACTAAATTGCTCATGCTGATGCGATACATCACTGATGGGATAAAATTTGTTATTGAATTTAATTTTTTATGAGCATTCCATTTGAGTCTCGAGCATGTACGAAATAACTTTGTTGACTTGTATGTGAGGCCATAGATATAGTAGTGACTCACTACTATTGAGTAATCAGTATTCTCACATCTAGTAACTACATATGGCTCAAGTGCCGAGGCTCTCACGTGAAGCACGGTAGGTCACCAGCAACCTTAAACGTGGCATAAGATCCCTGCTGCAAAATCGTGACAGTCTGGCTCTGTGGGAGAGCTCCACGCTGTGGGTTTCACACATTCTAGCAGCGATTCCGAGATATGCCTGCTGCTAGACAAGCAAGAGAATCGTCCTCAGTCCGAAGGTTTCATTCGCTCATCAGTGACATCATGTCACTGACATGCGGTGTGTCCAATCAGACACACTATATCAAACCTCTCTACTGAGGCTCACAGAATAACAACGTGGCAGAAAGGCTTTCTAATGACGAATATTATCGGTTTTGGAATGGAGGCGGTTTTCGCCGGCCACCTACAACGCAAACAGCTTGAGAATTACCAGACTGGAGAGACTCCAGTGATTATCAGACTCTGTCAATGGAGTGTCTTGATGTAGCGTATTACCGTCTATACTTTACCACCTCATACGTCATTTTCCACACCGCAAACGCGGTCCATATGAGCTGAGCCAAACCAATAGATATCGTGATTAATGGACAACATGCTCGATCTGATCGAGCATGATCGACTATGATCGAGTCGATAATAGTTGACTCATAAGGATCGATCCGTATATTGAATTCGGGCCATCTACAACACATCAACATGAGGGATAATGGTCCCGATAAGTGAAGCGTGTGCGACCAGACGTACCGAATGATTCGGTACGTCTGGTCGCACAGATTCGGTCCTAATCTGAAATTCCTCACCCCAGAGCGTGAGTTCGAAGACATCACAGAACGCATCATGCCTATGCTTTGCTGTATCACTTATAGGCGAAGACCTTGGAACCCAATTCATTGAGTTAATTTTCTATTTCCTATGAAACTGCTCTTTAGATACTTCAGCTTGCCCTCCGTTCACCCAGGCCTGGCACCACAAGTGAACACAATTCGTTGATATCAATCGAACCAGGCAGGGTGGCCTCACGAAAAATCGACTTCAATACTCGGCAAATAACGACAATGGAACGAACAATCGCATGCCTATTATAGACTAACACTTCTCGCTGAAAAGTATCCACGAGCTGGGCTCGGGTAATGAAAAATGCCTTTCAAACAAAGGCACTGGAATAGTATTCTGCAGCATGCGGGTGGCCTGGTTTTAGTGACTCAGCGAAAGAAAAGTGACTGGAGACAGAAATAGCTGATGATAATATCAGATAACAATACTATCTATGGATGTAAAAAGCATACAGAGAAAGCACACGGAGACATTGTCTCCGAGATGATGATGTACTCGTGACACGATGCAGCGAGGCTAGCAAAATAGAAATTCTAAAGCCTGAACGCTTAGGCCCTAAGCCTTAGGGTCGCAGGTCAGTCCCATATTCGAACCACTATCCCTCATTATAGCGCGCGTAGATGACATGAGTATCTCCGGGAGTATCTGAGGATCCAAAGAGGGTGTATCAGACTACATATTATCTTTGAAAAGTTGTGGATGACATCTGAGCTTGATGCCGAGTCACAGCAGCTGGAAGCTTGAAAGCTCGAGCCCTGCTCTACTTCATGTGTACGGTTACATGTATTGAGCCAAGCAAGACACGGAGAAACTCACCCAGTATGTTGATGAACCCCGCCTTCCTATAAAGTTCTCTCGCGGGTTGGTTTGTGCGGAGAACCAGTAGGTAGACTACACCCCAGTTCGGGTACGCCTTGGGAAACTGAGAGACAACAAGCATTGAAGGCTACTCTCAATGGCCATTTTTCGTGGGAATAGAGACTGCACAGTTCAACAGGAGAGTCCGTCGCTGGTATCACCTCCTTGAAGGCTACAGACAAAAGTGTCGATGCAATTTTCTGCCTCCGCCAAGCTTCGACGACATAAACCTGAAAGTCCAGTTTGCAACTACCGTTCGAAAAAACAACCGAGTGGCGGCATTCGGCTTACAATATTCATGAGTCCAATCTGCCCAGACTTGCTCCCTCCCGGCCTATGAAGACAACGTTTGAGGAGACCTCCATCGTCAATGTAGGACTCACCTGTGGGCTTTGATGGCAGTCTTGATCTTCTCAGGTGTGTTTTCTTCAGGGATGTCCATAGCGACCACGCCGACGACAGTCTGGGGAGGAAATTATTTCCGGCATAGTCATCGTTAACTGCTGGGTGCAGCCTACTATTCTCAATTCATTTCTAAACCACACTAGCGAATCGATAGTGCTGCGAGACCGGCCATTGTCTTCAGAACGGAAGTGCATTGCATTCCATTCAATCATTGAATTTCAATGCACGAGCGGCTCGTGACGAGTCGCTCGACGCAGGATTCCGTAAGCCGATTCGATGTTTTTTCAAAACAACTATACATCCTTTTGACAGAGTAGAGCAGATTACAATATTCGCACCTTAGCTCCACTAGGCACTGCGACCCAACATAGAAAAAGGTCGCAAGCTGGAGGAATGTATTCTTCTGCCACGAGGGATGTGTCATCACTCTCCTGGTATTTCCGGTAAACCACTCCATTAGGCGAGCGCAACGTATGGGGCTCCGACACCGGGTGAGTCCGATGGTCTCCAACTACCGCGGAGGAGAGTATCCCCAACAGCAGGGTGATGAGGAGCTCCATGTGTGAATGGAAAGGAAAAATTCACCTGGATCGCAGCAAATCCTCGGTGCAACGTCCTAATGAATCAGATTCCGCATAACGGTTGTGCGCTTGTGCCACAACCGCCTTGTGCGACCTAAACCTTCTGTCGACGGATCTACGCGAAGTCGTGATCGCGTGGTCGATTGATACTATAGATAGTCGATGCTAGCGACTCTGGCAACACAATTCTAAAAGTAGATACGGCCGTAAGGTAATACTTCGCACTGCTAAGTTAGCAGCGGTCGACAAGGTTGGCAAGGATGTCAACAATAATCCACAAGAGAATAATTCTTTGGAAGCTTAACGGAGTGTTGCGCCGGTGAAATCACGGCTGTAACGAGAGAGTGTACCTTAACACCACGCAGTGCGTGGCACGCACTACGCAGGTCACACAACTTGAAAAGAGCGAACGCGCGCGCACGTGCGCACGCACGGTGCGTGCTCGCGCGTGAGAAGATACGTGCATGCCTGTGCCGCCAAGTTTATCTCAACAGCCTGTGGCTATCATCCACCTCGTCACATGTTGAGCAGCGATGCACAACTGACTTGGTGAGCTTTATCTACACCCACCCTACCCGGGGGATGTGCGTCGGGACCGCAGCTGTGTCAAACCATGGTCACACCATGCGTTACCCGACCACATAGAACCTCGGCGTATTCGCTAGCTACGGAGTCTCTGATTGTCAATATGCAGATCAGATAGTCAGAATACTAGTCTTGCACTAGCAACTAGTCTGTAGTTGCACAGGTGATTGACTGGCAATCTCAGCTACAGCGGGAATCCTAGCATTCGGCGAATGACACCCTGGTTCTCCAATCCCACACTCCCGAGTCAGAGGGGTTTTCACTGAGAATCCCGCGAAGGACTCCAAATGTAATCGATCGTTTGACGCATGCGCACATAAGCTACGATTGAGGCTCCCGCGCTCGCTCTATACTGTGTATACCGCATAGCCAGGGCCGCACGGTCCGACATAGTCGGACCGACATCAACGAAAGGTAGCGGATGATGGCCGAACGGAGTCGATTCACGTATAGCGAACGATCGATACAATGCAGCTAACAGACTGGCCCACAGGAACGGGCAGATCTCCCTACCACAGACCACCAGCCGGGAGGAAGTGGAGCATTCTAGCATTGTAAATCTTCTAGCTTGTGCATTCAGATACATCGTAATTACGCTTGCGAATGCACGCACACTGCACTTCACGCATACTCGCAACGGCGAAGCAACAACTAATCCGTTATAAATTTACGATCACATCAGCATGCATAATCAACGTACTAAGAGTATGCGAGTCACAAGAGCAACGCTCCTCTAACTCGTGCAAGTGCCCATATGAACAGAACCTCATGTTGTTGTGAGTCAGTACTCCATAGGTGTTTGAAACACTGTGTTTCACGGAATCGATAGAGTAAGTGGGCACAAGTCGCGTGTACATATTTGCACACGCTGTGGGCGGATCTATTCGAGGTCGTGATCGAATCGTCACTTGATAATTTAGGTAATTCTATTTATTGGCAATCAATCTAATTTTAATACTCCAGCTCCGGTCGACAAAACTAGATGGAGTAACAACAGTAGTCCTCAAAAGATTTCACGAAAGACTTCGAATGAAAACGATCGTTTCACGAATGTACTCATGTCAGCCACAAATGACACTCTTTCAGAAAGAGCCTTTCTCCCGTGTACATGCGTGAAACGAGTCCTGAGTATAGGCAATGGTGAGAGAGGCACTTTGTGACAAGCAAGGTTGACTCATCATGATGGAGCGTTGACACTGAGGCTCCGGTACGGAGGGTCGCATCGCGCTAAAATTCTGACCGTATACGCAATAATGTCTACTGCAGAATTCAAAGCTTAGAAATCTGAATAACGGCTTAGATATATATTTACCCATTCAAGTTACCGATTTGGTGAAGCTCATCGGTGAAGTTATCTTCCTATTACGGCATTCCATCTGAGTCTCGAGCATGTACGAAACAACCTTGTTGGTTTGTATGTGAGGCCATAGATATACTAGTGAGTAATCAGTATTCTTACATCCAGTAACTATATATGGCTCAGGTTTCGAGGCGCTCACGGAAGGCATGGTAGGTCTGACCTACTAGGTCACCAGCAGCCTTGAGCATGGTATAACATCCCTGCTGCAACATCGTGACATTCTGGCGCTGTGGGAGAGCTTCAAGCCGTAGGCTTCACACATTCTTCGCAGTGATTCGCACATGCAGTGATTCCGAGATATGCCTGCTGCCAGACGAGCAAGAGAATCGTTCTCAGTCCGAGAGTTTCATGCGCTCATCAGTGACATACGGTATGTCCCATCAGACACACTATTTCAATAACAACGTGGCAGAAAGGCTTTCTAATGACGAATATTAGCGGTTTTGGGATGGAGGCGGTTTCCGCGAGCCATCTGGCTCAGACGGAAACCGTAATGAGAGATTCAACTTAGCCATAGAAATGTGGAATCCGTCACGAATATTATACAAACCAAACAGCTCAAGAATCTCCAGACTGGTAAGTCTCCAGTAGAGACTCCAGTGAAGATGTGCTTCCAACGATGTACCACATCCGGTCAATAGAGTGTCTTGATGTAGCGTATTACTGTCCATACTTTACCACCTCATACGTCATCTCCCACACCCAAACGCGGTCCATATGAGCTGAGCAGAACCAATAGATATCGTGCTTAATGGACAACATGCTCGATCATAGTTGGCTCATAACGATCGAGCCATATATTGAATTCGGGGCCCGAATTGTGTTGTAGATGGCCCGAATTTCGGG